TAGTGTTAGTGCTAGTGTCAATGTGAGCCAAGGTTTCCATAGTGCCATGTACTATGTGAATCGTAGGCGAACGATGACTCGTCGAAATTGGTTGTCGTTGCGTAGGTACTGTAGCTCTTGTTCGATTTCGCTCGGCGCGGTAGCATGGGTCGAGAGCGTTTTTGTGTGGTCCTGCTATCCGCTGACGAATCGAGTGTGGGGGATACGGTATCGGTCGTTGTGATGTCAGTTGTTGCGTTCGCATCAGTGGTGTGGGTTTCGCTAGGCGTGCAATGATGAAGAGTGACGGAGGAGTTGTAATCATCTAATTCGAGTGGTATTAGCATATAATTGATCGTTCCAAGTTCCGAACGTGATGTACGTAGTGTTTGGACTGCATCACGGTCCAATGCGGTTTTGGTGGTTCAGTGGTAGAAATGTGGCAACAGTTCTAACTTCTAATCTTTATCTACATGAATAATAATGCGACACAGATACCATAATACTACAAGGGATCTAACATAGGGTTACCGAGCCTTGCTGTATGTGAGCCGTCCCGCGGCGTAGTGTGTCTCGTCTCCATCGTAGTATTGGGCGTCTGATATCCGCCGGGGGTCCGCCGGCTCGTAGTGTCCTCGACATGCGAGGTTAGCTGCAAGTAGTGTAAGGTCAGAGAGAGAGAGCTTAAGAGAGGAACCCGCCACTCGCGGGAGACGAAGTGAAGAACTGAGCCTCGCTCCTCTCTGGCAGCGGTATTTATTGGACTCGAAAAGGGGCGGTACGGCCAAACCGGTTCTGGGCGGTACAAGTCCCGCCCCCAGGGCGGCCTGCATGAGCCGATCGATAGCAGAGACGCAGGCACCAACGGTGCTAGGGGTGCCTCCTCGATATCATGACCGAGGGTCATGACACTCCGCACAACGACAACAGTCATAATAAAACTCCGCACAACGACAACAGTCATAATAAACCTGTCTACGTATTTTTGCCTTTGGCATCCTCCCCGCCGGCGAATGGAAAAGAGATTAGTGTTCGTATGGTTGGTAGTATTAGGGTGATAAAGTGTAAGTGCAAGGTTCGGCGAAATCTAGGAAGAATAGAACGCCTGTTCAACTAGGATTACCTAAAGAAGGGTCAGGTTTGATCAATAGACACAAATCTAGGGGGATACAAATCTAAGGGGATACAGACAAACACTACAGTGTTACATAGTAGTAATGGTACAAATATAGGAAAGAGAAATTACATAAAATAAAGCAAATGATATATGGAACAGAACGTGATTGTTGCTTCTTGCAGGGATCGACGTTGTAGTGGAGCTGCTTGAAGTTGACGAGTTGGCGTCTGATCATGGTGGTCGATGAAGGTATAGCAATGGTGTCGAAGCGAGGCAAACCTTTGAACTGTTTGTGGATATGGTTTCTGTGCGTAGAAATGTATCTTAGTAACGGAGTCATTGAGTTATTAGTGTAGAAAGATTATTAGTGTAGAATTAGTGGAATTATTAGTGTAGAAAGATTTTGCTTAGGAGACGGAATGGTATGCGTATCATGTAGATGGTAAAGGTGAAGATGCGTCGAATAATGCGTATTACGAGAAATATAATACGAAATGGCGGTAGGTATGATAGTATGTGAGGAATGGAAGTTATTTTGTCCTTATTTGCAGTGGAGTGGCAGAAGATGCTGTTGCTCGTCATAAGGGCACTGATAAGGATGAGTAGTATGGCAGAGGTATAAAAGAGAAATTGCCTACAAGTATCAAAAAAATGTGATATGTCGGGGAATGCAAATTCGATATTGAAGGAAGTATTAGTGGAAGTATTTCTTGTCCATGAGTGGATGTAGTGCCATAATGGCTTGAATCCGTTTACGTAGTTGAGTGTTCCTCGTGGGCTCTGGTCACAGTGGCGTACGTCCTCTGTTCGCATCGTGTGATTCTTCTTTCTAAGTCGTAGAGACGATTCATGATTTCTGCCATTGCATCCAGTTGTGCTTGGATGGTCGCGAGGAGGCGCTCGTACTCCTCGCGGGTGAGGGACACTACGTTCTCGCGTTCCATATCTAAAGAGTGAGGAGTTAATATCAGGTGGTAAGTTTATTATTAACGTGAATGAGTATGACTCTATTACACAGTGCAATGGCTACGCTTCTCATGGATGTTTTCTTAATGCATTTGCCGAGGATGTAATCTTAACTTATAATGAAATGGATTGATGCGGTTTGCTATGTTCGCGAGTGTACCCTTACCCTTATATTCTACCCTTATATTAGGTGTAATAAAACAGATCGAAGCGCCTCTTCATCGAACTATGTGACATGTAAAGTTTCAGTGTAAGGTGAAGATAGTTCATAAAGTTAGTTTATTGGATCAAACAATCTACAACGATAACTACATACCGTCTTAAAGAATATTGCACTACAAAGGAAAGTAGTGTTCAAATGATATAACCAAAAGCGTAGTACACATCATGAATTACTATGCCTACTGCTGGTTTGTATTCTGTGATAGGCGAAAAACTTCGCATTGAAGTAATAGCTTCACGTCCGTAGTTGTGCGAGGTGCGTGTTCAGGATGCTGAGGTCGTCGTGCAGTACTGTATATTGATGAGCCAAATACATTGTATTATGCTGCAATGACTGCACGGCTGCGTGCTGTTCGATCAGAAGTTGATGAATGGCTCGCAGTAGTGCTTGGTTCTGATTAAGTAATTCTCGGAGTGAAGTGCGCGAGCTTATCCCTCTAGAATGCGACTATTAGAAATACCCATTTTGAAATTATTTTAGCTTATCTAATTAGTATTAGTATAATGGTATTAGTATAAATAGAGGTTATTATTACAATAATATTGATAATCGTACTAGGACTATACGGGATATCCGTGTAAGTTACGGGGCAATTATCTAATGAGGGTTCTTGTTAGTAAGGTTGGCGGTAAGCTGATTAAGTTTAATGAGGGGAAGGACTGTAGCGTATAATCATGTTCGGACTGCAGCGTGTAGTTTAAAAAAAAAGGGGGAGGGGCTTTATCGTTAATG